GAATTCGTTGTGTCGCTCCTTAATTTTTTTTGACATGGAATTAGTGTACATAGTTATTGACAAGGGTTAGCTGACAACAAGAGATGCCTGCCGGCAGAGAGTGGACATAATTCCTTAGAAGGCGAGGTGAGCAGAACTGAGGAAGATGCATATTTCAGTGGGATAGGACAACCTGTAACTATACAATAATACATTGTGATTAGTTTAAAAGGAGAAGAGTCAAACGGAACCATCTTCTATCATTAGTTGCGATGCAGGTGGATGGTTAATACCATTCAGTGATTCACAGAGATGTGAAGTATGGGCCAGCACACATTCAGCTTAGTGACGATTATTGTCATAATTATGGCAGCAAAAGTTATTTTTGTATCTTCCATTAGGGCAGAATTTTTAAAAATAGCGCAAAGCAGAAGTAGCATCGGTTGGTGTACTTCAGATATGAGAACTGTGGTTATTGCTTTGCGTGCTGTTTTTTTTTCGTCATTAAAGACGTATTTTATACTATGTGTTTGTTGTGGCAGGAAACACATGACTATTGCATGAAAAATTCATGATAAAACACATCGCATAAACAATACTTGTCAGAATGACTTAACATAGAGAAACGATTCTTGGAAGTCAAAATGATCCATTATTTAAATTAGCTACGCATTTCGGAAGCCAAAAACCATATTCAAGGCTAATTAGATAGACTGACAAGCGTTACACAATTCTGACACTATGTATAACTTGGCGAACAGAGGACATAGGCAAACGTGATTCTCAGATGTAACCCAGAATTCATGAGACGGTACAAAGATGAAACGGGAAAAACGGTAGCGAAGTTCGTTGGGGCACAATGCTACAAGCCGGCAGGTCGCGGTTTCGAGTCCCGATGAAGTGATTTTTTTTTTTCAATTTACCTAATCCCTCCAGCCGCCCTATGGCCCTGGGTTCGACTCAGCCTCTAACAGAAATGAGTACCAGGAATCTTCCTGGGGATAAAGGGCGGCCGGCGCGTAATGCTGACAACCTTACCGACATCTGTGCGTGGATTGCCTAGAAAATGTGGGAGCCTCGACGTCTCACAATTCTATATTGATGAAACTGATATCTATATAGTACCCAGTGCTCAGGGGAAAATTCCGCTTTATAGTTGTCATCCGTAATTATTAATCAAGTAACTAAATACGAAATCCCCCTAAGGGGACATTATCACACAAAATCAAAATCTACCATTTCTTTGCATATTGCTAGGTTTCCCTAGGGACAATGAAAATGTTGAGTATACAATTGTTAGGTTCAGGTACGTCGATAGAGGAAACGGAGAAAGAAGTTTATTAGATATTTTACTGGAGAAGGAGCTATTACCGTGTCGACGGACATCATTTTGATAGAATTACAATGCCTAGGTTTAAGCATGAATGACTGCAGGGCTGAGGATTACGACACTGAGGCAGACATGGTTGCCGTGAATTCAGTCCAGAAACTTTCTCTTATACCGCGACGATGTCAGCTGGGTCTGCAGCTAGGCGACCCAGCCAAGTTGCCAACTTTGGCAGTATTTCCTGTATGATTCTTACAAAAAATATACACTCCTGTCCCTGGATCATTCAAGAAATCGACGATATTGAAGGATAAATTGAAAATATTTTTGAAACATTTCCCAGAAAGCGATGGTTATGCAGGCCGAATGATTTCAAAACTATAAGCCTTCAGTTTCACGGAAACTATGATGCTATTCGAAATCTTCACAAAACGTGTGATTACCCTGAAAAAGTGAGAGACTACCAACAGAGTTTAAATAAAAAACAACTGACCACTCTTTACTGCAGTTTGTGATATGGTACGAATTTTTATTTCATGTTGACAGAATAAACGGTCTTTGGCAAATAATGTTACTTATTTAAGTAGCAGAGTGACTTGTCTTCAACTATTCTCTAATTAATATTAGAGTTAATTTTAACGTTTACACAACACGTTTTTATTATTATTATCACACTACATGTTTCGACCTCAAGGGGTCATCCTCAGGTGTACGAACACAGTTGTATAATCACACGCAATCACATTCGTTTTTTACTCATTCGACTCTGTATCCTATCCAGGTCCACGCTCTATAATATATTGGGTTCCTCCTACAAAAGTACAAGTTAAAATACCATTACAAATGTTAAAAGTTAAGATTTAAAATTTAAATTTCGTGAATTGCAGTTTCATTCAGGTCATTGGTATACTTTCACTTTCACTTGCTTTTCAGTCTCTTCCTACTTACGCTCATCACTGCGTACAGTTCACTTTAACTAGTTTTACTATTATCATTGGTTAAAAGTTCGTGCATTAAAGTTCAACTTTATCATATTGGTGCACTTTCATTTTTTGGAGGTCTCGCTGTTCTTCTGTGTCCTCTGATGCTGCTGGATCTGTTTACGAGCCTTGTCGTTATCACAAGGCTCTTGAGGTCGAAACATGTAGTGTGATAATAATAATAAAAACGTGTTGTGTAGACGGTAAAATTAACTCTAATATTGATTAAATACGCAGCAGGATGCAAGAAACAATTAAAGTTATTCTGTAATTAGTTCAAATAATATTATTCTACTGGACTTTGTTCCATATTAAATGAGGCTTTTAAAGCCGCAAGAAACATTAAATTTGACTCCTCGACACGGACAAAGCAGAAAACACAGTTCTTCTATTTTTGCCTGGGTGTGTTGCCGACATTGCCTAGCAACGGCCGCTTTTTAGAGAGTCACCGCTTAGCATCGGGTCTACATGCCACAATATATATGGCTAAAAATTTCTGCTATTGATGGCAGCAACTTGTTTATTTGCAATCATAATTTCTGGCCTGTTGTCAAGGTCAAGTTTGTTTAAATGTATTTTCGTCTTCTTAGAAAATACAATAGGTAAGATAAATTATCATGTTCTATTTACGGGGGAGCCTGGATAGTGCAGTCGGTATAGTCACTCACTGGGTAAAGGTTGGCCGGTAGTTTTTTTTTTTAAATTCGCTAGTGGAGTGTGAAGTCTAGCTGTGTTCACTTGGCACGGCGGCCACTGATTGGCCTATTATACTTGAACCGGTCGATTATGATGATGGAGAATTTTGTGGAATAATGATTGGCAGGGGAAACCGAAGTTTTCGGAGAAAATCCGCCCCAGCGTCACTTTTTCCACCACAAATCATACTTGACTGGACCACGGCTCGAACCCGGGCGGCCGCGGTGGGAAGCCAGCGACTAATCGCTTGAGCTATGGCGCGGCATTGGAAGGTAGTTGCGTCAGATTTCAAGTTCTGGTACGGTCAATTTTTTTCTCTCTATGTCGTCCTGACCGGTTCTAGGGCCTACCCAGCATCCTACCCAATGGTTACAGAGGGCACAGTCCCTGGGATAAGGGACAGGACATTAGGTCGACCACTCACCTCTACCTAATACTGAGGTCAAGAATAAATCCATCTGTACAGTCACTTCCCCTTACATTTTAATGGTGTGGTGTTCAATTAGTTAAGTATCGGATAACTTTCAATTCCTTTGCTTCGTGATTTTTGTATCCCTGCTTTTGATTGAAATAATTGTTTACATTCCCCTACTTGTCACTTGCCCCTAAAATGATTGATGATATTGATTCCGCACACGTTTCCTCGGTCTAAATCAACGCGCACATCCTCACGTTGGCAGCAACTTGCTTGAGCCTGGATTTCAAATTTTGCTGGCCATTCCGTCGATCATGCTGAATACGACATTGTTCACCCGATCATTTCTGGCCTCTTTTTATCATTGATTGCACTTTGCCAGTTCGAAGTTCTAAACAATATTTTAATATTTCTTATAAGATATATTACGCAGTGTTCCTCACTGTTGTGTTCACTGTACAACGACACATCTGTTTATGCTGACGCTGACAACTTAATGTTGCAGTAACACAAACCTCTGATCCACAGATTAAGCAGGTCACTCTGCACACATTAAAAGGTTTACATATCCTGTCTGCTTAACTGGAAAACTAAAAACTTACATCATAGAAAGAATGTATTTATAGATATCACAAGAAGATTAAGGCTGGTTGTTTCTATGACAAATTTTCTTTTCGCCCGAAATTAGTTACAACAAACATTAAGACTGACAGATTCCAATGGCTCAAATTCGTCGAAGAAAATTTAAAATCTAACGCTGAAGAGTTTTCGAAGAACGTTTCAGAATTCAAGAAAAGTAATATTGTTTTAATATATCCTTATGTCGAGTGTATTCTTTTAAATAGGTCTCGTGATTCTGTGGAGGCCTTTGCAAAATATAATCAACCAATTTTTTACAGATTTATTCTAGAACAATTTCTTATAATGATTAATTTATGGAAATGTTATCCTTTGCTCCTATTTTAAAATACGATGTACGAAATAATACAAATCGAATGCGAGAATCGAAATCAGTAGGAGTCGATTCTATACCGAACTTTTATATAAGGAATTGCTCTCAAATATTCGTGAGTGTTCTCCATTTATATTTAATTTAGCCTATGTAAAAATATATTTTCTAACTAGTGAAAGCAAGCAGGTTACTTTCCTTCTTATAGAGTAAAGCAAATCTCTCTCTCTCTGTCTCTCGCTAATTTTCCACCCATTAACCTTGTCAATAATTATTCTGAAGTTTCCAAAGCCAGTGCTATTAATTCATCTTTAACTAAGTCACCTCCATATCTCACACGAAGTCTGAGTTCCGAAACAACTTGCGTGCATGAAAGCATACAATAATAATCTCTTACAATAAGAAATTAAGACTACGAGGTTTAAATTAAGAGGAGGTTGTAAGATTTGAGGCTTTCACGGCGGTGACTATGAAGAAAGCAGTCTTCTGGGATTTGGCACCGTGTATATGTGGTGTTAACCGACGTTTCGGAGGAACGTATCGCCCCCATCTTCAGGGTTGAAGAAGTATAAGTAAATCTGCAAGCGACAAAACCGTGAGACACGGTCAAGCAGAAGACTGCTTTCTTCTTAAGAGGAGGTTGTTTTTATTTCAGATTTAATCTGGATTTCAGATCACAATCCAACTCTTTCATTCATCAGTGTTTATAGACGCCTATAAAAATGAACACGGCTGTTGTGAATATAATTATTTCATTATGTAAAACCTTTTTAGTAATTCTTCTAGTGCTTTATGCATACTACAAATACCGTTATTCTTACTGGAAGAAGAAAGGTGTTGCATACCTCGAGCCCTCTTTCCCGTTTGGAAACATTGGAGATGCACTACTACAAAGGAAATCTGTTGGGTTACAATTCCAAGATATTTATAATAAACTTGCCGGTCATGAACTTGGAGGGGCGTTTTCATTCATCAGACCAATGCTCATAGTTCGAGAGCCAGAGATGATTAAGAACATCGTAGTTAAAGATTTTGTACATTTCCACGGCCATGGTACGTACTTTGATGAAGAGAGTGAACCTTTATCTGCCAACCTGTTCACGCTGTCTGGATATAGATGGAGGAATCTTCGTACTAATCTTACACCTACTTTCACATCTGGTAAAATGAAAACTATGTTCCAAATTCTTGTTGACTGTGGTAACGAACTGGGAAAGCACGTGGATCAGTCTGCTGCTAATGGGGATAACATAGAAGTGAAGGATATTCTGGCGAAGTTCAGTACCGATGTGATAGCACTGTTTGCTTTTGGAGTGCAGTGCAACTGCCTTAAGAATCCAGATGCTGAGTTTAGAAAATGGGGCAGAAAAATATTCGAAACTAATAGGAAGACAGGAGTCAAAGACGTTGCCATGTTTGTGGCTCCTGCTTTGCCTCCAATATTGAAAATACCTTTCGTGCCTCTGGATGTATCACAATACTTCAAGAAGATGGTGAAAGAAACAGTTGAATATCGGGAAAGTAACAGAGTGAAGCGAAATGATTTCATGCAGCTTTTGATAGAAATGGAAAACAAAGGAACGCTTGATACGGAGGAAGAAACCAGTGACACATCAAAAGCAGATAGTCTGAATGATGCTGGTCTAACAATGAATGAAATCGCAGCCCAAGCATTTATATTCTTTGCTGCTGGATTTGAAACCTCTTCGACCACTATGAGTTTCTGCTTATATGAGTTGGCCATGAACCGGGAGGTACAGGAACGTGTTCAGGAAGAGATCGATGCAGCGCTAAGAAAACATGAGGATAAAATCACTTACGAAGCCATTCAGGAAATGGAGTACCTCGACAATGTGATCTCAGGTAAATTTCAGTACTGCGTAAGTTTGGGGACACCGAAATGTAACGTGCTAAATTCTGAATCATTTAAGAAAACATTTCTTACAATGAATTCATATAAAACATGTCTCTGTTTTTCATTATCTTAAAAAGGATTCATATAAAACATGTCTCTGTTTTTCATTATCTTAAAAAGGATTCATATAAAACATGTCTCTGTTTTTCATCATCTTAAAAATATCCACAAGGATTTTCCTTAAGTATGTTTATAATATAATAATACTGCACATTAATAAACATAGAAAACTAATAGGAAATATTCTTACATAAAATTATGACCTTGAAAACATACTGTCCCGAACTCTTGGTCTAGAACAGGGGTCTCCAAATACCCTGTCTCTTTATAGTACCTCTTATAGGCCCACCTACCAAGAGGCCGCTTTCAATCTATCTGTTTCTCCATTAGAATAATATACGTGTAGTTTCAATCCGAATGATCATGTAAGTGGTTATTAAATCCTTCAAACAGGGTGGTAGGGCGGCGGCTAACGGTCAGTATGTTAAAATTTCATGGTTTGTATCGCCATTGTGTACGACAAAGGAATCATACTACTTCTATATTTTTTCAATCTTTGTTTGTTCGGTGACATAAAAAATGTACCGAAGTATCAAACTGAATAATTTAAAGACATTTTATGTAAGTTTCATGCGGCATAATTATTCATCTTTTTACAGACGATGATAGTGTAATACATATTTTCAGAAATTGATATTTGTCTCCCTGAAAGCACAAAATAAATTTTTAAGACCGAAGCGTCCCGTATGTTGTAGATTATACAGCACTTTTTATAACCTCGTGGTATAGATCTATTTATGAACATGTACATTCATAACTTTCGTGACTTACAAAGGCCTACTTTATGACCTCTTCAAGCAAGAATGGAACGTTTACACAAAACGTACTGTGAATATTATCATAACTTAATCTTTTCCATTTTTGTTCATCGTTTGCCTCAATGTTGTCTAGCATTACGAAAAAAAAGCTTTCTTATATTGATAATCATTACGTGTTCCCCATTTTAATCATTAATAGGTTTTTGTCATGTGTGTCTGTGCGTATGAGCGCGTATTACTTAGTTGAATATTGACTGAAAATTTTTAGAAGGTGTAAATATTGAAGAGAAAATATTTAAGTAACAGAGACCAAAATAGAATGAATTCCTTCACAAACTGTAAATGTGCCCCAAAATGAACTTTAATCATATCAGTTTGGCAGCACTGAAAAGGATGGAATACAATGTAAAAGAACAGAGAAGCTTTCTCACTTATAGACCTATTTTCTGCGCTTCCTGCAGAATGCTCGTTGAGTCCAGTGCATTTTCAACCCGTAATTCCTTAACGCACAGAGATTTTGGTTAGCTGTATTTAAATGAACCAAGGAAAGTAGGTATCTCGCCCATCCCTGAGGACAAAAAATAAATCCAGTTTCCGATACGCTGTAGTATTTCCAAGTTTTAGCAAAACGGACGATGGACAAAATCCAAAATCTAGTAATTCTGAATGTTATTCACCATTGTCTGAACGTGTTAGAAGTAAAAGAAGTAATTTATAATCCTATGTGTAATAAGTGGTGTATCCTTGATAGCTTCATCTGCATCATAAATTATGAAGCGATATCTTTTTTAGATCTGATAAGAGGACTTGATCTCTTGCAGTTGGCAATGACACCTACGGAGCAGGCTTTATAGAGAGGAACAAGTGTAGATATTCTGTTTACCTAAAACTGAACTACACTTGCACTTTCTGCTTTTATCACTCCCACATTATTACTGTGTAACAAATACCATCTTTACTACAATCACATTCATCTCGTCTGCAGAAACGCTAAGGAAATATCCTCCGGCTCCATTTCTGGTACGAGAATGTACCAAGAAGTACACAATTCCAGGGACAGATGTTGTTATAGAGAAAGGAACGTTAATTATAATTCCTGTAATGGGACTTCATAGGGATCAAAAGTATTACCCAGACCCTGAGAGATTTGACCCAGATCGCTTCAGCAAGGAGATGAAGGACAGAACACCCCAATTTACATACCTGCCTTTTGGAGAAGGCCCAAGGGTCTGTATTGGTAAGTGACACTTCACAAACCATATAAATAAATATTCATGAATGAGTGATTCGTTGATTAGTCTTCTAACATATGAGAAAATATAGTTTGTTAGGAAAGTATCAACTTCTCTTGAGAACATAATCTGTCCATTGTCACGCTAAGCATTTTACCCTGGAAAAGGACGCGGTAGTGTCCTCCGAAAAGTTGGTAATAAGCTACAATCTGATATAATTCTTAAATCCATAATATTCATTCCTCTCTGCCATAAGAAACTCATATCTCATTTATAGTGTACGTTGTTCGCTGAAACAAAACTTTTCTAAATGTGGTATTATCTTAATGTTACAGGGATGAGATTCGGGCTACAGCATATCAAGGTGGCCCTTGTATCGCTCTTGTCAAAATACAGTTTCCATGTATCGAACAGGACATCGGTGCCCTTGAAAACTGATACGAGAAGCATCATTACATCAGCTGCTGGTGGAGTGTGGCTCAAGATTAAAAAACGGTTTATAAATAAGTAATTTATTCGGTGAACATACAAAAGAAAATCATCGAAATTCAATTTCATATTATTTCCAATAATTTTGTACTAGGAAGTCGAGATTGCTCCTCGTGGGACCACTACTCTAAGTTGGTGTATAAGTGAAGTGGTAGTAAACTTGATGCATTTGCACAGTAAGCTTTATCGAAGTTGGGTAGACACTTAAAAGCTCTAACAGCACTAGTTTCTTTCTACGTTGGAGGAAAATTGGTTATCTGAAATCCCAATTTATCATAAATATGATGTCATCTGCAGCATATAATAGAATAAAATATGTCATTTCATGTATTTGTGTAGCTTATGGGAAAATAGCTTCCTTTCAGCTTGATCTTTCTAAATGTGTTCATATCAGACATAATAAAATGAAACATGAAATCAAATGAATGCCTAACCAATTAACTGGCTCCAAGGCGTACAGACATTCTTCCTAAAAGGGCAGGGGTCTCAAACAGGAGCCATGTCTAGGAAACTTGAAGACTTTATGTGAAGCCCTTGGACAAGCTCTTGTGTCGAAGATAGTGAAGAAAAGTGTCGGGTTTTCGACTGGGTTGTGGAAAGTGAGTGACTAGCCATTGTGGAGGGGTTTGCCTGCACTCTCTCAGTCAGCATCCTACATCCTGCGGGCTTTAGTTCTACTCAGACAGCGTGTTTGATCAAATATGTGCAAAACAAGCAGTTTGAAATATTTATACCTTTTACTAAATGTCCTTATGCTGTAGCCATACCACTGACACCACCATCTTTATTTGTAATCAATATTTCTTTTTAGAGTAATTATACACAAGAGGTAGCAAGGAACACTTAAGGGTGACTTAGCCCGATTCTTGGTTTCAAGAATAGGGCCTGCTTCACTGCTACAAAGACCAGGCAGGAAGCACCCCGCAGAGTTTTCCTGGAAATTCAGTTTGAAAGTGGACCGGCGGGATCCTTTGGTAAAGTTACACTTGACAAGTTTTGAACCCCATAAGTCAAAAGTGGGAAGGCCAGCAACCCACGCTACTAGTATGATTTTTCAGGCAGCTGTCTAAAACGACGTTAGTACTTTAAGGTCCAAAGTCCCAAATTAAAGTTATGTGATTAGAGCAGTGAGAATTATGGTTAACTCCCTAAATTCGAATTGTTCCAATCAGCAGAAATTAGGGTAGTAACTTGGAGGCGGAGCCGAAGCCGCGAAGATTTCTTGCTTCGAAGCAGGGTCAGTCTGCGAGAGGACTCTCTCTAAACAACCCTCCAAGTGTACAGCCGAAATTATGTTTAAGTGTTTGCCGGAACAATCTCTGGATAACTTCTAAATTTAACGTGAAAATTTCTTGGTGCCAAAAGTATAAGTGCAAGTGCAATTCTAGGGTTTGTGCTAAAAGTAACAGCCGCTAACTAACTAGCCAGGGATCCCGTCACCCATGTTGGAGAGATTTCCATGTGTTTTGTGCAACAAGTGCTGTTAAATGTACGTGTGTAGCAAGATTGGCTAATTAAACAGTGTGTGTTAGTGCCTACCCAAAACACTCTTCTCTTTCCCGCTGACGCGAGGCCCGTATTCCCCTGAGACCGAATCCCATCGCTCCAGTGAGAACGCGGTACCTAGCACCTGTAGTATCCAGTTCACCCCCCTTTTTCCAGAATTGTAAGCCGACAATAAGCTTACTGGCGCCCAGCACCCCAATAACCCATACCCCGAAAACTATTATCCACCAGAACAACAAAAAGGGAAGAGAACTGGATAGGAAGGACGCAGCCGCAACCTGCAAACTCGGAGTAACAACGGGTGAGAGGGAACGGCTAGAGGAGCAGAGGCAACCAGCAACCTAAGGGCTCTTCAGAGGACTGCAGGAGAAGGACGGTAAGAAGGAGTGGTGCCCAACCAAGGGGCCAGACAGAGCGGTTACAATGCCTTCAAAATAAACATCAATTATAAATAAATGCAAAGGTAGTTTTATAATTAAACCAATACATTTTCACATGTTAATCTGTAGAAAACCGTTTAGACCCTTGTTAACATTTTGTTCAATACTGCAAAAGTGTAGTAGATCAAATCACGCGACCGGTCTTCTGGTATTGCATACTTTTTGGACTGTTTGTTATGTACATAATGCCTATAGGACCTAAGGGTCCACGGACAGCTCCAGGTCTAAGGCCTATTGATAATAAGTTTTTTCTGTAGCAAACAAAACACTGCTGAACAATCAGTTGTAGTAACACTTCGTTTCGGGAACTGCTCGATTGATATGTCTGCTAGAAATCGGATATACCGACTTACGGTTCTCTTGGTTTTCCTTAGTTTCAAGAGGCGAATTTTAAGATACTATTATTATATATGACACTTGATCTTAAGGGAATGTGATCTAAAACCTTGAAGTGAATTCTTTCAGCAAAGAACAAGTTTCCCACAAAGAGTGACGTAAGCACATTTGCAAACTGTTTACTTTCACTTCTTAACACGTTATAAATACTGCTTGTGAGGCATAGGAAACAATATTCATGTTGCGCGAGGTTATGATTTTATCTTCTTTCACATTTTGTAAAAATACAAAATGTCTATATAAAAGCGGGATATTTCTTCCCCCGTTGTATAACTGTCGTCCTTCCTCAGACAACAACGCACTTCGCCATTCATATTACGTCAGCAGCGTAAGTACTTATATATATGTACTGTACATATATTTATACATTTATATTCTTAGTTGAATGTAAACTCGGAGACGCAAATACAATACTAAAACCGATCCTATAGTAATACGAGACACTCGACAGGAGAGTTGATACAGGAACTGACCTACGGGATTGGTGGCTGAGAAATCCAGGTTCGATTTCCCGTGTTTCTCTGCCGATTGATCACGGTTATAGAGCATCAACATGCCGATAGTCTCATGCAATTTTACACTTCATAGAAACGGGAAAGTTCTGGACCAAGTTATTAATTATTAACTAGCCAAGAAAGTTGCACCTTGGGACTGAATTGTTACCTTCTAAATAATTCGATGTTTGAAGTCACAGCAACATAGGAAAGTCAGTAAAACTTTAATTCTCTGTACTAATAAAAAGGTTCCAGCACAATTACGAAATGTGGCTTTCCGGTTTTACGGATGTTATTGTTTCCTTCATGTGATTTGTTTTAAGACGATGTCAGGATTTCAGACTATATATGGTCGAATTGCGGGGAAACATTCCAGTGTACTTGGATGATGCACTATGCTACAAGCTGAAAGGTCGTGGGTAAGATTTCCGGTGAGGTCAACGGATTTTCAATTGACCTAATACTTCAAGCCGCTTTATAGCACAGGAGTCGACTCAGCCTCTAACGAAATGACTGCCACGAATCTTCATGGAGGGTAAAAATTGCGGCAGCGTAAGGCTAACAAAATAACAGCCATCTGTGGACCGATGGTCTGGATCATGTTGGATCCTCGAAGTTTCGCAACTATATGGACCTCCACGGCCAGCTACAGGGATAATTTTATATTTTTTACAGTAAACTTGAAGAACGATTACTCGATGTTGTGATCAAAACGTTTGGAATAAAACGATCATTCTTAATCAAACTATTATGCCGGAAATTTCTTGGAAGGTCTCAAAATGCCAAGAAATTTCAGACAATGCATCAGGCATTCACTTAACTTTCGAACAAAGAACCTCCCGAATACAAGTCCTGAGTGTTACAACTGCACTAACCATGTCACTAAATTGTGTTGTTGCTTTTTTACCATAGCGGCGAAAGGCCCCAAGTAGGCAAGGCCCAGTAATTCGCGCCTCAGTAGGCAAGGGGCTGAATACTGCACTATACTGGTTATTACAGGAGGTTGGTAATAATCTTACATTATGAAGGCGAAGTCACGTGATTCAGGATGAGCGTTTGTTTCGTCGTTATTGATATCATGAGCTCTACCATAAAGAGGTTGTGCCATTCTAGATGTACCGCTTAATCATCATTCTCATCTTTCACTAACCCCTCTTAAATTTCTCCATACAGATCTCTAATGTTCTTGTTCTTACTGTTCATTGCAAGCTTATGAATTTGTCTTTCAGATATTCCCTCCTATTTTTCCTGAAATGTCTGCTGATTTCACGTCTTATATTGTTTCGACTATCCCCATTTAACTCGCTTGTATCCTGTAGCCACTGCAATTTGTCTTGTTTGTTTTGGTCTCCTAATTCTGAGCATTCTTCATCGAACCATGGTTTATGCTTTTTCAGTTCACAATAACCGACACTCTCCTTGGCAGAAATTTTTATATTCTCTCTAATAGTTTCCCAAGTTTATTAACATTCACCTCAGAGTACAAGTTTTCCACAGCCGCGAACCTATTTGAGATTTCAACATGATACTGATCTCTACCATCTACCTCATTAAATTTCTTGAGATTGAACCTCTCCATATGAACTGTGTGCGTAGTCTGTTTACTTACTGCCCGTTTATTCCTAAACTTTGCCACCACCAGTCAGTATGACATTCTGCTGCCTTGAAACAACGGACATCAAGTATACATGAGTGCCGTTTCCTATCTATCAAAATATGTTCAATTTGACTGAGTGTCTGCCAACCAGGAGATGTCCAAGTATATTAATGATGTTACAATGTGGGAACTTTGTACTCTTGACAGCAAGATTTTGTCGGTGTGCAAAGTATAGCACTCTAATTCCATTATGATCACTAATTCAATGCAAACTCCCATTCCGAATCGCTGGTTTGAAAATGTCTTCCTTCCCTACTTTGGCATTGAAACCTCCTAACATAATTTTCATATGATACTTCGCGAATTTATCATATACATGTTCTAGTTCTTCATAGAACCTGTCCTTTATGTTATTGATTTTACCTTCTGTTGGTGTGTGAACATTCATAACGATTATATCACACCAGCGAACTCTTAGTATTATATACGTTATCCTATCACTAACGAACTCTACCCACTTAACTGCTGATACGATTCTCTTATGTCCAAAAAAAAAACACTGTATATAATTCATGATTTTCATTCCCCTTCCTATAGAAAAAGGTTTAGTCTCCTGCTGGTGCGATGCCATCTCCATCCCATCTGACTTCCTGTACTCCCGCTAAATCTAGCTTATATTTTGACATGTCTTCCGCCACTGACCTGAACGACTCTGCCCTATACATACTTCTAACATTCCAAGTACCTAATATGGACTTTCGAAGTATAATAATGTATTAACTTATATCACTCAAATTGTTGTCTTATTTATCGAACTACGAAAGAGTTCTTTTTTTTTTAAATTCTCTAGGGGGGGTGGAATCCAACTGGATCCACTCGGTACGACGACCACTGATTGGCCTATTGTACTTGCTCCTGTTGATTATGATGATGGAGAACTTGGCGGAGTGAAGACTGGCAAGGGAAACCGCAATGTTCGGAGAAAACTCACCCCAGCGCCACATTTTCCACCACAAATCCCACTTAAGCAGACCCGGGATCGAACCCGTGCCGTCGCGTTGAGAAGCAAGCTGCTAACCGCTTGGGCTATGGCGCGGCCACGAAAGAGTCTTGTGAATACATCGCAGTTTATATTTCGTTGAAGTCTGTCCTGCTGCCAGGTGTACCGCTTGGTTCTGCTTTGTGCCTTCTTTGTTGATATTTTGTTAATGTTAATGAATTCCGTGATGCATTTTATCATTCCAAATACATTACTTTAGCTGATGACCTTAAATCCTTTGAGGTCGGAAGTGAATAGGGAGGAGTGGTGACAATACTCATCTTATGAGAATAGGGATATAAGTTGCAAAATATACAAAAGATATTCTGTTCTCACCCACTGTCAACACAGAAGTTACTCTCCGTCTTCAGAATCGAAACCTGAACGATCGAACAACTGTGGTAACCATCAACTGGTAGAGGAAATGCCGCTAGAGGTTTACATAAGATATTTATGTCAGTAGGATTATTACATCTGATATTGCTATCCATGTCTCGATTACAGTATTTTAATATCTCCTCTGTTTCATAACCGAGAAAGCCGGTGCAGTTAAGTCATTTCTAAATACGTCACACGCCGTATGTCGCACGAAGTTTGCGATTTCGGAAGAACTATAGTACATCAAAGCACATAAAATTAATCTTTGACTAAATTAAGCAAAGAATACGAGATTTAAATTAAGAGAAGTGTATTTTGATTTCAGATTTAAATCCGGAGTTGAGGTCACAGTCCAGGTTCTTCATTAGTAGCTGTACATGCCTAAAAATGAACACGACAGTTGTATACTTAATGATGTCATTATCTGCAACCTTTCTGGGGATTTTTCTTGTTTTCTATTCATATTGCAAATACCGTTATACTTACTGGAAGAAGAAAGGTGTTGCATACCTCGAGCCCTCTTTCCCGTTTGGAAACATTGGAGATGCACTACTACAAAGGAAATCTGTTGGGTTACAATTCCAAGATATTTATAATAAACTTGCCGGACATGAACTTGGAGGGGCGTTTTCATTCATCAGACCAATACTCATAGTTCGAGAGCCAGAGATGATTAAGAACATCGTAGTTAAAGATTTTGTACATTTCCACGACCGTGGTACGTACTTTGACGAAGAGAGTGAACCTTTATCTGCCAACCTGTTCACGCTGTCTGGACATAGATGGAGGAATCTTCGTACTAAGATTACACCTACGTTCACATCTGGTAAAATGAAAACTATGTTCCAAATTCTTGTTGACTGCGGTAATGAACTGGGAAACCACGTAGATCAGTCTGCAGCTAATGGGGATAATATAGAAGTAAAGGATATTATGGCGAAGTTCAGTATCGATGTGATAGCACTGTTTGCTTTTGGAGTGCAGTGCAACTGCCTTAAGAATCCAGATGCTGAGTTTAGAAAATGGGGCAGAAAAATATTCGAAACTAATAGGAAGACAGGAGTCAAAGACGTTGCCACGTTTGTGGCTCCTGCTTTGGCTCCAATATTGAAAATACCTCAGGTACCTCGGGATGTATCGCAATACTTCAAGAAGATGGTGAAAGAAACAGTTGAATATCGGGAAAGTAATAGAGTGAAGAGAAATGATTTCATACAGCTTTTGATCCAAATGAAAAAGAAAGAATCTGTTCATATGAATAAGCAAATTAATGACAGGTTAAAAGCAGATAACGGAAATGATATTGGACTAACAATGAATGAAATTGCAGCCCAAGCTTTTATATTCTTTGCTGCTGGATTTGAAACCTCTTCGACCACTATGAGTTTCTGCTTATATGAGTTGGCAATGAACCGGGAGGTACAGGAACGTCTACGCGAAGAGATCGATGTGGCGCTAAGAAAACATGAAGGCAAAATCACTTACGAAGCCATTCAGGAAATGGAGTATCTCGACAATGTGATCTCAGGTAAGTTTCAATACACTATATGTCTGGTGTAAGCAAAATGTAATGTGATATCTTTCTGTGGGTTCTGAATTATTAAAACAATATTTCTTGCAATTAATTCATGATTAAATACATGTCTCCGTTTTTCATTACCTTAAAAATATACACAATCATTGCCGATAAGAACTTTCACAATATACGAATGCTGCCTATTAATGGATATAGGAAACTAATATGAAATATTCTTACATGATGTTGTGACCTTGAAAACCTACTTTCCCGAACTCTTGGTCTAAATCGGGGATTTCCAAATACTCAGTCTCTTTAGAGTACCCCTTATAGGCCCACCTACCAGGAGGCCGCTTTCAAACATTCTGTTTCTCCATTAGAATAATATACGTGTAGTTTCAATCCCAATAATCATGTAAGTGGTTATAAAATTCTTCAAACAGTGCGGTAGGGCGGCGCGTAACGGTCAGTCTGTTGAGATTTCCTGGTTTGTATTGTCATTGTGTACGAAAAAGGAATCATACTGATTCCATATGCTCGTTGAGTTCAGTCAATTTTTCAACCCGTAATTCCTTAACGCACAGAGATTTTGGTTAGCTGTATTTAAATGAACCAAGGAAAGTAGGTATCTCGCCCATCCCTGAGGACAAAAAATAAATCCAGTTTCCGATACGCTGTAGTATTTCCAAGTTTTAGCAAAACGGACGATGAACAAAATCCAAAACCCAGTAATTCTGAACGTTATTCACCTTCGTCTGAACATGTTAGAAGTAAAAGAAGTAATTTATTATCCTATGTGTAATAAGTGGTGTATCCTTGAGAGCTTCATCTGCATCATAAATTATGAAGCGATATCTTTTTTAGATCTGATAAGAGGACTTGATCTCTTGCAGTTGGCAATGACACCTACGAGGAGGCTTTATAGAGAGGAACATGTGTAGATATTCTGTTTACCTAAAACTGAAATGCACTTGCACTTTCTGTTTTTATCACTCCCACATTATTACTGTGTAACAAATACCATCTTTACTACAATCACATTCATCTCGTCTGCAGAAACGCTAAGGAAATATCCTCCGGCTCCATTTCTGGTACGAGAATGTACCAAGAAGTACACAATTCCAGGGACAGATGTTGTTATAGAGAAAGGAACGTTAATTATAATTCCTGTAATGGGACTTCATAGGGATCAAAAGTATTACCCAGACCCTGAGAGATTTGACCCAGATCGCTTCAGCAAGGAGATGAAGGACAGAACACCCCAATTTACATACCTGCCTTTTGGAGAAGGCCCAAGGATCTGTATTGGTAAGTGATACTTGACACGCCATGCTAATAAATATTCACGAAGAACCCCAAATAAAATGTTTAAGCAATCACAGAAGAAGCATACGTTCTTCCTGCATTACAAAATATTTCATTTGTTTGTACATATTAAATTTACTTTCAATTTCAATTTAATTAATTTTTTTATGTCTCATTTTTGTAATTTTTTTAACAACGCTATCAGTGAATCATACTATAATGTGTCGAATATTGGATATTACTGAATAATGGATTGTAGAGGCTGGAAAAGTTCGTGATTTTATTTAGTGCTCCGTTCTGGACTTGTCTTGAGAGGATAGTAAGAAGAGGAACCTCAGCTATTGTAGCTGGTGACAGGGCCCAAATTCGAAACCTGGACCCATTCAGTTATATATCAGTGGCGTTAATTGTTAAGCCACTTGGATGGATTGCTTTTTTATTTTTATTTGCTTATTTCCATCTATGTAATAACATTGTCAATATCATTACTTTCTATGTCCTGCATAATTTCTTTCTTCCTCAGTTTCGAAATTTGTTTAGCTAACATCGTGTAAGTGTACATTAAGTTTATTCCATTAGACACTGGTCTGGACCAATACCAGGAGACCGGCCCATTGCATGACCGTCCCCTACACAGATCACTATCTATCGATCGCTATGGAGTCTACCAAACGACATCAGATTTCGAGTAGTCCAAGAACGTTAGGTTACTGCATTCGGCCGATTGCACTATTAATTAATTGATTCATTACGGACAGCAGTGTCCTTGAGAATCTAATTTTCGCTCAGCTAGTCAAGATGTTACCAGCATTTTTCGAAAACTGCAGTTTCCTTGTCTTGAGCCGTGATGAAGGTCAGTTTGCTCTTCTACGTGAGATCATGGCGTCTGACATTCCCAGATTCCATCTTCACCCCCACGTCTTGACATATTATCCTCGTGATGTTTGTGTATCACGTGACCAATTATCCCTCTTCATCGTCTCGGAAGGAGACGAGACCTGCTCCGCAGTCTGTCAGACGACTTCGTTCTGAGTGGGCGCTTACGAGCTAGCGGGGATTGCTATTGGAAATTCTGTTTCGACCTGGTACCTCTAAATTGCGTTCGGTATATCTGGCTGGATGGTACCGTAAAGGCTATCCGTGGTCGCAAGCCTTTCGCTTAGAACTGTTGCGGTGCTCCCATTTATTTACTAATTTATTTTTATTATTGTTATTTGTGTTTTTCTGGGGTAACCTGTTTAAAGCTCAAAGTAAGTTAGAAAAAAGAGGCGAGATAGTTTATTCTTTGTCTCGACTGGTGGCAACGAGTGATTACTCCGTAATCATGGATTGGGTTGTTGTACCCCGTTTTGTCTTGCTTATGCATTATTTGTTTATTTGTTGTAAATTCTGTTATTTTGTTATTAAACTTTGTTATTGTTATCTGGAAGGCCAACGTACCACTCTAGCTTTTCCATATAGCTTGGATACTCCACGAATATTTTGGGGAGCTTGCGAACATAACAATAGAGCCAGCGATGATGGGCTTCTTCTCCCTACCTCACGGCTCCGATTATAAAAATTGAGAGAAAGAGAAGGGGCGGTTCAGTCTTGTACACAAGAGTCTGACACTCTTCTTTATACTGAGCCACACGAACATAGCACGAAATATTGAACATTTCTTTAAGATCAACTTCAAATTGTTCTCGCATCTATCCCTAGGTCTTCGAAGTGTTCTCTTTGCACAAGGTTTACCTACAGAATCTCCATCTCCTTCATTTTATCAGCCTACGGAAATATGGTGCGGAGTAGAAATCATGAAGCTCCTTACCACATAATATTCTCACAGCCTCCTGCCGCTTTCTACCTGTTAGGCCATCTGCTCAGGACTTTGTCCTACATTGCCCCCCCAGGCCCGAATCTATGTTTTAAAATCTTACATTTGATTTGTCTCATTCTGGTCCGTCACACTATTAATTACAAAGTAGATAACTTTCAGTCCAGTATGACATACAGGTTTAAAACCCTTCAGTCTATATTCGCCTTATATGTTTCGATTCAAAAGAATCATCTTCAGAGGCGCACCACTACGAGCAGGAAACACTGTTACATAAGATGTTTTAACATTATGCACTTAGGTTATGAATAGTGCTCACTATATCACAGTTTGCCCCATGCAGCCACGTTGACGTGTAGATTTACGTATGATGTTTGTTTAAGCGTATTTGCTGGGT